CGCATCAACTTTTGCTCGCAGCTGACAGGCTCCCTTCCCCCTGCTGCTCTGCTCCCAGCTGCAGCCTCCAAATAGCCCCCCGAGCTGCTCGCCGAGCCCCCGGGATGCTGCAGAGACACCCCCCTCCCCCCCCGAGCTTTGGGGAATGGTGCTTCAAAACCCTGAGGAGGAATAGTTAACCGCCAGCTCTGCCCCACAGATCTGCAAAGCAGAAACAGGGCAGCTGAGGAGTTTCCAGCTGCCAGGGAAAACCTGCGTTTGGAGGAGGGGGAGCACAGGTTGTTTTTTTCTATTTTGCCATGCAGCAATCCCTCTGGTTTTCGCCGCCTTACATAAAGTGTTTACTGAGCAGGAGGAGGGAACAGCCAACAACATGTTTTTGCATTTGTAGTACTGTACAGGGTGAACTTTTCACTTCCTCTGAATGGCTCTCACACATGTGTCTATTTTGGTGCTGGGCACACATACAAACAAGCCATGTACGGCACAGAGCTGGGGCCGTTCCCTGCTCCTGCTCCATCCAGCCATGAGCCCGGCACGCCGCCGAGAAATGGCTGGAAAACAAGGAACGGGAGGAGGGCGAGGGGGGGGCTGCTCCGGAGAAATCTCAGCCCCACCATGTTTCGGGCCCTTCGACACGAGCCGGGCTCGCGGGGAGATGTGGGCAACGCTTGGGCACTGCATCCCGTCGGCAGAGCCGCAGGCGCCGATCCCCTGGCGTCCCCGGAGGGCTGGCGGAGTGGAAAAGTTTCCCGTCGAGCAGTAAAAAGGAAAAGCTCTTTCTGCATCTGATTACGCCAGTTGCAGCACGTAGGGTTGGCGAGTGGGTGGGACTCGGTGCGAGCAAGGGGGGTTCGGGGCGCTGCTGCGTGGTCGGCAGCAGAAGGCGCAGGGCTCCGCTCCCAAACCCCACGATGTTGTCTTGATATGGGGGGGGTGGGTGTATTTTTGGCAAGTTTGGCCAAGGTAAGTTTAGGTGGCTGGAGTAAGCAGGATTAAAAATAGATGATGTAAAACAAACAAACAAGTCGATGATTGAAACGCTCCCTTCTTTTCAAAATAACCCCATCTGCGATGGAGTTTTAATACCGAATGCCGTCACGTTTAAAACGATACTGGCCGATGAGCTGCTTACTGTGCAGGAGGCCCCTGCAGATCAGGGGCTGGCGGCCCTCCAGGACCAGGGAGGAGGTTTTCCGGGCCGTGCACGGGGGAGGCGGTATGGGACACGTCTCAGCTGAGCTGTAGCCTTACGTGAGAACACCCGTACACGGTTTTGGAAACCATAGAGCAAATTTCCAGGGGTGCAGAGCTGGGACTGGGGCTGCATCTGCAGATTGGGGCTGGCTTTTGGGTGGCATGTGGCTCTGGATCACAAAAAGCTGACTCTGATACTAGAACTAATCTCTAAACAGAAACGAACGCAGAACTTTTTCCCCTTAGTTTTAGCTAACACAAATTGCTGGTGATATAGCTCAGATGGGGATGGATTCAAATGAATCTCTTTCAGTCCAGATGTGGCTGGACTGAAAAAGCGAGTAAAAATAAAATCGTCTCATAAATAAGATGTTGAAAGTGGAAGAATTAGGCATTGGGAGCATTAAGTTGTACAGTTGCTTAAATACTGTGCAGAGCCTATCCCCCTGCTGGCTAGCAAAACCATGGTGTTAAGGCTCTAATCAATGGAAAATTAACATGTTGAAATGGTTATGGCAGAAAATGGAAATCCCGTTCCCCTCAAGAACAGAAGTGAAGTACAAATGAAAAACAAGATGATTAAAATGGATGGATTTAAATAAGGGTTTTCTGCTGGCTGAGTTAAACCAGGATTAAAATCTGATTTAAATCAATCCACTTTGGAGCATAAAGCAAGTGTGGTTTGGCTCCTCTCAGAGGATTTTTTTTTAAATTGAACTTAAGCTGACCATCATAACAGCCAAGCTGCCTCTGAGCTTCATTAAACCTCCTGTTACCTACCGAATGGTGGATTGTTTCTTTCATCAGGCCCCCCCCACCAAGCTTTGAAAAGATAAACGGTTTCAAAGACAGAATTATTTTATTATCACAGAGCAATCTAATATATAATAAAGAGGAAAAAAAGAGTTTCAGGGTATTAAAGATACACCTTCTGCATTAGAGAGCAGTGTCGTACCAGCACTCGCTATGCAGACACAAGAGAAACAGCAACAGAGAGAAAACAGCTTCAGTGATACATGAGGTACCTCTGGAGAAAGTGTCACCGCTTGCCCCCTCTCAACTGACCCGGGACAGTTCTCGTCCTGTTCATCCCCCAAAACAACGGCTATGGCTGAAGAGCGTTTTTGGCAGGGTGTCGTACTTCCGCTCTACAGAGGCCTGGCTTGAGTGGCAAAGATGCAGGCTTCCCAGCCCGCCGATCACCCGGCCCTTCGGCCACTCACTGGGGAAAGGCCAGGCTGAGTTACTGGGTTGCCTTCCCCTGCCACCACCTCTGTAAGCAATAAGGTGATTCTCTTGAGTTCTGTAAAACTGATCCTACCTTCTAAGTTACAGAAACTGAGCCCTGCCAGCCTGTAACGCTGCAGAGGACTTGAAGAATCCCGTCATTTCCATTTACTGGCACCTTTGCGGGGGATCCCCACTCTCAACTTAGAAAAACAAAAAGCCCAGTCCTGCTGATGCAGCTGTCAGCATCCTGATAAATGGGGGTGTGTTTTGAAGGTACGCCAGAGAATGTTTTTCTTCTGCTCCCTGACAGCAGCGATCCAGCCACGCTTAGCCCGAGGAGGGAGTGAATCCCAGGAGCTGCTCTATTGGCTTGTACCTCCACTCATCTGCCTCCAGCTCTTCCACCAGACCGGCTAGTTTTTCCATCCGTGCGACTTGTTGATCTGCAAGAAGTTCAAAGGTAACTGTGGTTTGCAATGACAGCGCAATGAAACCTTTCAATTAGATGCAAATTCCCAGCTGTCAATGGGGAACAGAGTAGAATAAAACCCACCGAGCCAATTTGAATGCAAACCCACTCTACACGACGCCCTATGCAAACGGCGAGACCTCGCCAGATCACAGGAGAAAGCAGGGACAGGCTTTTCTGCCTCGTCCAGTGCTGAATGTGTATTTACCCATCCCTGCCCGTGCTGTGTAAATTCAAGTCCTAACAGGGAAACACAAGGCCAATTAGTGCATGGGGGTGAAAATAGGATGAAGCTCATTTCTTTAGCGTAAATATTTATAGTGCAAAAGAAAAGAGAACTTCAGAGATGGCTTGGTCAGCCCACGGTAAAGCTAGGTGCAGTGTGAGGAGCTCCTCATTTTAATGAGGGTCCTTTGAGCAGGACCTGGATGACTGTAGCAGAAAGGCTCTGCAATCAGAGCACGCTAATGACACAAAGGTCCCCATGGAGAGACAGGCTGCCTCCCTGGGGATCCTCAAGACAACTTGTTCCTCTGTTTTATTTAAAAACGGTTGTGCGTTGGGCACGCAGGCTCCATTTTCAGTTACATTAGCTGCAGTGGTAGAGAGATGAGAACAGCCCTTCTCTTGGCTCTGCTGGAGGTTTAAGAGAGCAGCGGCCTCTTGGAAAAATGGCCTGCTACAGGCCGACTTAGTAGCAAGACGCGTAACACAAAATGTACGTGATTTATGCTGACTGCAGCAGTGGGTGCTTTTAAGAGGGACTGTTCTCACTCCACCTCCCGCAAGCGAGTGCTTTTGGGAACTGGCAAACAAACAAGCCAAAAAATGATGACCTTGATCTTTTTTTAAGCCTTTCCCCTTTCTTACACGGAGGCAACCGGTGCTCCACAAACCAGTTTCAAAGGCTGGTGCTTATCAGGGTGCCAGTCTGTGCAGCAGCCCCCAGCAGCTACAGCCATAGTAGCGCCGGAGCTGTGGAAACAATGGCTCTGAGGTTCGGCTTTGTGCTTTGGTTCAGAAATAGAGGATCACAGCCTTGCAAGCTGCTGCACACCCCCAGACCTCCTCCTCACAACCTCCCTCGCCAGCGATGCACAGGAAACCTCGCTGGTCTGAGACAACACGTGGAAGTGTTCTAGCTGACAAGAGGCGGGGACGAGAAAGGATGTGACCCTCGAGCAGCAGATATGGTCTGGTGCTGAGCTCTACCCAATGTCTTAAGAACGAAAGCTGCCGTGCAGTCAAGCCCATCATACAGTTACAGGCACCTGGGCGGCGGGCAAAGGCCCCAGGAGGGAAGCCCCAGTTCAAACAAGATGTAAGGCTCTTTCTTGGGGAGGGTAGGGAGTGGAGTCAGCCCCATCACGCCACGCCAGGCACCCGCATGTCCGTCTCCTGAGCACCTTTGGAAACCTCGCTTGACCCTGCCAGTGTCACGAGGGCTCAGCAGAGAAACAAAGGTGGAATCAAGTGTCTCTTTGCCCGAGGCCAGAGAGACAGTCAGTGCTGGGCCAAGATCAGAGCGTGGGCGTTTCCTGCCCATAACCTCCTCTTCTGGCCTCACCTCTCGTGAAGGCAGCGCAGCACACAGCGATGGAAAAACAAGCTTCGAAAGGCACAGCCTGTTCCCACCCAGGCTGTGTGGGTTCCCGTCGCTTTGCATAGGGCTTGCAAAAGGACTCAATGATGGTCTGACTTAGCGTTAATTCGCCAACTTAAAAGGCTATTCTGCTTTTTTTGTGGTTGGCACCCGAGAACATGTCAGCCTTTTCTCCGTGCTCCCCTGCCATCTTCCCCCATCAACGTGCAGTTAAAATAGATGGTGCTTCGGTGCTTACCGTGTTTCACTTGCTTTAATGTAGATGCAACCTGATAGCTGAAGACAGATTCACAGAGGAATCTTTCGGAGCCATCTGTAAACAGAAAAAGGGACATAGTTTTATCTGAGATTTTTAAGACTGAGCAGCCTTAACCGAGTGCCACCTACCTTCTAATTTTATGTTCAAGGTGTGGGTTTCCCCACTTGCCTTGTTCCGACACTTTCCCCTGCACCAAGGGTGCAGCGCTCCGGTTTCTGGCCCGTACAGCCCCACGGTCAAATCCTGTGCGGGGCTTTGGCTGGTTCCCGGTGCTGCTGGGGAATGGCTGTGCTACCTGGGAGACACCCCGGCTGACACTCTGTTACATACCCTCTGTCAAGCAATTTTTGTCCATTTTAAATACAAGGTAAGCTAAGGAGAAGCCAGCTAATATTATGGCAGTCTCCGATTCCCTCGGGGCTCAGACACTTGTGTCCTTATAATGCTTTATGATTTCCCACAGGCTTAGACCATAACCCCGTATAAAGGATTTCAAATAATGTGGATCTTGCCATCTAAGTCAGTAATTGATCACACAACTGTCTCAGAAATAAAGCAATGTAGAATACATAGCTAACTGTGTGCCAGGCACTGACATAGTTTGTACTACTTCCTTCTGAAAAACACCAAAACACCTACAGGTTTATTTAAAACCAAGCGAGATAGATAAAGTAACAATAAAAATCAGTCAGTTAGTGGGGATTTTTGAAGAGGAAACTGGTATGCAGTTACTCCACTAGTACCTGCCTGACGAAAGAATGGGTGTATCACCTTTTATCTCAGAAATTAAAAAGCTAACCTAAAGCTTCCTGCCACAGGGAGAGTGTTTAGTTGTTGCTGCTACCCAGAGCAGACAAACTGCCATGTTACTGGTAAAGAGGTCAGCCCAACACAAAATCAATTAAAAGCTCTGAGCCATAAAAATGAGGAGAGAAGCAATTTCAAAGACTAAGGGTAGAAACAGACCCCTGGCCCTGGAAAATCTAATCCAAAGCTGAACCCCAGGTAAGAGGGAAGAGTCGGGAGTTTTGCTGTGCTCAGAGCATCCTCTCGCAAGCTGTTGAAATGGTGTGTTGGTGCTGCACTGTGCTATTTCCAAACGTACCCTTCCCTTTCCTCCGACTCCCCAGCCCGGCTGTCCTGCCGAGTGGCTCTCGGGAGGAACAGCTGTCTGTCTGTTTGGTAACATGAAGTGCTTCATCATTTTAATTTGTTTTGAGGGCTCGTTAAGTTCTATGAGCAAGCCTTTAGTCATAATTACTTCAACAGACCGGCATATGGGCTCTAATGTGTAATAAAAACAGTCCTTGAATGATATAGTGATCAGTTCCCAGCTGCCCTGCGTTGCTGTGTCACTTCTGAACTGCAGGGCCACCCAAGCCTTGGTCCCACCACCCCAATGAATTTCAGGCTCAGAGAGTCAAGTGTGCGGCATGGTGACATGGGAAGTTCAAGGGGAACGGACAGACAAACAGACAGACCGACCCTGGCTTAACCCTGTCATCTGGAGGACCTGCCCTTCCTCCCTCACCCAGAGCAGGGGCAGGGATGTGCAGCTGTGACACACCTGGGTCCTCCTTCAGGCAACCCTGACGAAGCGGGTGGCAGGACTTGGGCACCCAAACGCAAGACATGGTGCTGGATCAGAGCCCCGACCCTCTCCAGGCAGCCCTGGAGAAACACCCCGACAACAGTGAGCCCAAAAGGATCCTTTAAGCCTCGAAGGATTAAAAGAGAGGTCTAGTCCTGATTTATCCTCTTGCAGACCTCTGCGGCGAGGTTTTAATTTGGGTCGAGGGCAAAAGCAAGCCTGACGTTTCCTGGCCAGCAGGGATACAAGCTGCCTCCTGTACTAGCCCAGTCAAATCCAACCCCAGAATGCATTTTGCCAAGAAAAATATTCCTGCCTCAGCTATCTTTACAGTAATTCCTGCTCGACATCAAAAGATTAGCTAACAATGAGCAATTAACACCGTCATGTTCCCTTTCAGGTAGATTGTTTCCTCGTCTGAAGTGTTGTCACGGAGCTAAAAAAGAGGTGACTGCCAGAAAAATCACTTCCTCATGAACAACTGGTGGGAGAGCCGGGGCTGCTCGGGACCTACCCGAGACCTCGTGCTTCCTTCCTCCCTCCAGCTTTTGCCAGCTAAAGTCCAAAAAGGCAGTGGGGTGCCAAGCTCGGCAACTCCCTTCTAGGGCTGCCGGCATACCAGGAGGAACAGGGAAGGAGAAGGGCAGGAGCAATCACCTTCCAGCATCTCCCCGGCTCCTTTGGGGTAAGTGAAGAGGGCTTTTCGGGGCGGCGCCAGGTCCGAAACGCTGAACCCCGATCCTGTTACAGAGCTGCCGCTGACTCCACCAGCTGAAGAGGATGAGGAGGAGGCTGCCATTTCACCCCGTCCCAGCCTGGAAGAACAAAAAGGGAGCAAAGCGGAGTTAGGAAGGGCGTCTCGGAGCTTCCCAGGGCACGAAGCCAGTGACCACGCACATATCTGACGGCAGATGACGGCGGCGAGGTCCAGGAAGAGCCAGTGAGTGGAGTTTTGGGCTGCCGCCCCTGCTCCATGGCTCCGCAGCCTCAAAGCACTGGTGATTTGAGGCTGCCCTGCGTGCGTGGGAGAGGCTGCCTGTGCCCGCTGCGGGCATGGGTGCAGTTAGCCGTCACACCACGCGGTGGCACCCAGAAACTGAAGGTAACCCACACTCTGACCCCTCGGACAACAGGGGCCTGGGAATTCAGCGGGAGGATCGGAGAGTTCGTAAAAATAACCTGGCGCAGGTCACTGGCCCGAATTCGCTGGCCTTCAGCTGTCTGGTGCTTTTTCCGCTCCCCAGGGTCATAAAAAGACTTCTTTTTTTTTTTCCTTTTTTGCCTTGTTTCCAGGAGCACAAACACAGAAAAAGTCCTGCTGCCTCATAAAACCTGGAAGCCCGCAGGACTGCCAGTTCCAGTGTCACATCCTGCACGAAGCCACGCCGGGCCTAATTTGCAGCAACTGCCCTCTGCATCGCTCCAGATGTGCTTTTGCTTTTAAAACCCTGTGTTTGACCTAAACTGGCAATGGCTGAGCATCCATCTGCCTGTACAGCGCAAGCCCGGTCGCATCTTGCGCACCCTTTTCTCAGCCTTGTTTTTAAGAGGTATTGGCTGTACGTTTGCCGTGAAGGAGCACTTAAAACTTGTCACATACCTCTCCGATAGTAAAAAAGCTGTCACTCAACACGTGTAAGTGACAGCACTTGCTACTCCTCCAAACCACTTATAAGCACTTCCCAATTATTCTGCCCATTTAACACATTTCTATTATCCTACCTATTTAATACACTTCTGCAGACTCTTTAGGCTGGGCAGACAGCGCCTTTGGAAAGCACTCAAAGATTTAGGGAAGAAAATGGGTTTTTAAAAGGCTGTCACAACTAGAAATTGTATGCTCTTTCACCGTTAAACTCACGGTTGTTTCATTTACTGCAAGTAACACAAAACGGCGCGACAGCTCGCAGAGGACCCTGGGCGCTTACGGGCTGTGAAAGAAAATGCCTGGATAAAAGAAAGCTTTAATTTGGCTATGAGACGTCCAGGAACACCTTCCTCCGCAAACCTGGGCAGGCCCGGCTCCCCGCTCCTGAGGGAAGCGACGGTTTGCGCGGAAATGACACCGACCGGGGCTCGCAAACCCGGCGGATTCCGAGGCACAGCTGCAGGATTTTTATTTTAAGCAGGCTGAGGCAAGCACACAGGAGGGGGACGGCGGGCCAGGACGATGCCTCCACGGCCATCGCCCGAGCCGCCGGCCATTTTGCGGGGGGGTGGGGGGAGCGGTGGGGTTGCCGGCACTGCGCATGCGCCGCGGTGCCTCTTGCCCACACTCCCCCCGCCGGGGGCAGCAGCCTCGGTAGCGCCACTGCGCCTGCGCCGCGCCCGCGCCG